GGGACCCTGGTGCGTTCAAGGTGAGGACTTTAACCACTACACTATGGCACCAGGCTGAAGCCATGATTTAAAATAAGTCTTCAGCCGAAATTTACATACCAAGTTTGAACACATTAAAATATGGTAGTCTCTTAATTAACCCTACCAGGGTATCCCATGCACGTGAAAGAATACTTTGTAGCATCAAGACCTCAATGAATTTTTTTTAAAAACTTATTTATTTTTGGTGAAAAATGAATTTGCAGGTTAATAGAAGGAAAGACAGAGAGAAAGATCTTCATCCACCGGTCCACTCCCCAAATGGATGCAGCAAGCCGAGTTGAGCTGATTCAAGGCCAGCAGCCAGGAGTTTCCTCCAAATCTTCTAGGCAGGCACAGGGTCCCAAGGCATTGGGCCATCTTCTACTACTTTCAAGCCATAAGCAGAGAGCTAGATAGGAAGTAGAGTAGCTGAGACATGAATTTGTGCTCATGTGGGATGCCAGCACTTATTAGGCAAGGATTAGCCAAGCAAGCCATTGAACTGGGCCCATCATGGAAATTTCACAACATGCATTTATTTCAGGGATTTTCTCTTGTCCTTCGGAACTGAAAAAAAAAAATCCAAATATAAGTAAGATAGAGAAGCTGTTATGTGAATTGCTTTCAAAAATTTGTATTTTCTTTTCACTGACGTAGCATATTTGTTGCGATCACCTACACAAGCAAATTTACATAGTTGAAATGTACATGATTTAAATTGTTCTTTCTGCTTTGTATTTTTCTTTGTGTGTGTGTGTATTATCTGAAATTTATATATATATATATTTTATATATTATATATATATTGACAATCTTTACATAGTTGATTAGGGTAAAAAGGTTCAAGGGCTACAGGAAAGTGGGTAAGACTATTTTTTTTTTCCATATTGTTTCCTTCATGTTTAAAGGAAGGTATTAAGGGAGAAGGCCCACCCAATTTCTCACCCTCCCCAGGTCCCGGATGTAGGTTATGCTCTGAGGTTCTTGCTCAAGTGGTTTTGATATTTCAACAGTTATGAATCAATGCCAATCTTGCCACTCCAAGCACTATGAAGTCTTTGAAGAATCCACTGATTGACATAGTCCATCACAGAGTCTGTGTTTGCCCCGTATTTCACTGCCAGCATATAACTGAGATGGTTGGTTGACCTGTTCTGTCTTCTGTCTTTTCTTGGTTAGGGTTCTGAGTCCAGCATTTTGCTTCGGGAGATCTCCAAAAAAACTTTGTCTGAGGTGTTCTCAAACCAGAATCTTGTATATGCTAGCAAGTACAGGGCCCAGCACACACATTCCATCACCCCGAACAGCTCGTGGTTGCAATTGCTGGGTTGGTTCTGTTTTCAGCCCCGACTTCCACTGGAACCAATGGGTGTTGCAGTCCAGGCTGGTTCTGCCCAGCACATACTCGGCCCTCGCATAAACCAGTGGGAGCTGCAGCCTAGTTGGAGCGACCCGCAATAACCCCCACCGGGCCCACCCCCTACCCTGGTTTGCCAGTATGTGTAGCAGTAGTCCAGTCTGTCCCACACCCCATTCCACCCCAGCCCCTGTCCTAGTTTTATGCCCTCCCATGGAAGTGGTAACCCTAGAGGGAGGAGCCCACTGTTTCCCTCCCAGGCCTCTCCCACTCCCAGATTATGCACTCTCCATGTAGTTCTGTGGTTTGATTTGACAGAACTAGCCCCCAGTGCCAGCTTCTTCCAGCTGATGCTGTGGCCAAGCCCAAACAACCCTCACCCACTCTAATTTTGTTTGCACCAGTAGGAATAATCAGCCCAGCCTGACTTTTCCCTGATCTAGTCCACATGAGGCACACAGGTGTTGTAGCACTGCTTGGTCTGGTCTGCCCCCATCCCAGCCCACGCTCTCCAGTGGGAGTAGCTGTCCAGCAAAGGAACCCTCCCTTATTCCCCTGCTAGTTCTGCCCCTCCCTTCCTGGTTCTCACAGGTGCTGGTTGGGTGCTGCGGTCCCTTCCGGTACAGGCAACCTCACCTTGGCATTCCATATTGTGCACTAGTCTTTGTTGAAACCGAACCTGGCTCGACCCACACTGTTCTGGTGCTTGGATTTGCCAGTGGATGACGTGGACAGATTCAGCCTGGAGTAACTTTCCATGGCCTGTTCTGGGCTGTTTCCTATCATGTTTCTTGCGCTTACCTGCTGGGACTGTGTCCTGCCAGAGGAGTTGCCCAGGCTCCTCCATCAGAACCTCTCCCAATGCCAGGTTTCATGCTTACCAGTGGGTCCATGAGCCATCCCTGCTCAGTCCACCTCCTGTCATAGCAGGAACGGTGGCTTTTCCTGACTGGCCTTCCACCCAATCTGGTCCTTGCTGTTGGATGTTTCAGCCCAGCCATGGTTTGTCCATACCCACATATGGCTCACACATGGCTCAGTAAGGGGTTGAGGCCTTGCCTAGTCCATCGCACATCTATCCCAGTCCTCCAGGACACCAGAGGGTGTTGGGGTCTGTCCCAATTTGGTGCATCCAATCCCAGTCCACACTTGTGCCAAGGGAGTCTGCTCTGTATTAACATCCCGAGTAAGATTTCATTTGGAGGGAACAATTTCACTACTACAAATTACTTTATTTTACATTGGTATTCAGCTGCTTTCTGCATATTAGTGAAGAGCCCTTCCAGTTCCGGTAGGGTGTGATTCTTTAACAAGTTGTCTTCCATTTTCATCACGTTGAGGCAATCCTTGAAGAAAGCATGATAAGTTATGTTGTCATAAACAGCTGCCCAGTGGTGACAGCTGCTGAAAGGTGACCAGGTGAGCAAGAGTGGAGGTATTCTGGCCATGTCCCAGGGCCAGCCTACCTGTGGGTTGGTGGCATTTCTAAGTCCTTCCCTGTAGACTCAACACCCATCAATCCCTACCACACAGCTTTATTCCCGTTCCATGGATTGAGATTTTAATGTTGGGTAAAGCATCAAAGGTCTTACTAATTTCATGTTAAAAGGCCTAGCTTATTGTAGGGACTTAAAATTTGTTCTCCTCTGTAATAAATATGCAACTTAGAAATCTCACTTTTATCCTTTGAAATAATTCGTAAGCAAATATGCTAATAGAATCCAGTGATTTGAGGACCAACGTCAGGAGCTTTTGATTCCTGCTTGAAGATGCCCTAAAGTCTTCCCAATAGCAGCTTTGGTTCCAGTTACCCTGATAATTACCTTTCTTCAAACTAGGAGTCTCAGTATAGAATTGAGATATTTGAGGTGCACTGTAGGAACCTACCATCCAATTAGACATCTTTGAAGAACATTCTGCATAGACCCATGGGACAGCCTGGGAAGTGTCCCAGGGCTATGGGGCAGAAGGCCCAGGGCACTTGTGTGACATCCCCTTCCTTGCCTGAACACACACACACACACACACACACCACACATACACCCTTCCTCATTGTGTTCTGATGATTTGTTCTGCAGTCACAACATGCCATCATTTCTGCATTCTCCTTGCCCACTTGTTGCCATCCCTTCTGAAATTTCTAAGGTTCTCCACACCTTTGCAGATACTCATTCGGGTACTTGTGTTTATTCACATACATGTTAATTAGTGCTGGAGATGGTATAGAGAACGAACGTCAGCTGGAATCCTGTGCTTGTGATTGTCACAGACAGAAAGGAGAGGCTTTATTCAGATGATACCTGTGGATGTCATCCTGTGAGGGACACATGAGGATCCAGCCAGCTGGGTCACAGTCATGCAGACCAAGCAGCTTTGCCGGGGGAAGAGGCACTGGGATTCAGCTATGAAGGCAGAGGAGAGCTTAAAATCTGGACTAGGCAGTCAAGTAACAGGGCAGTGGCACAATAACACACATGCATCCATACTGAATATGGTGAATGCATGAAACAGTGGGAGGGTCATGGCCAGATAGAGGTGGGAGACTTACTAGGGCCTGAGATCATCAGGGAAGGCATTCCAGAGGTTGTGGATGAAACTCATGCAGAAATTCATACATGGGGATTATAAATAGAAGAGGAGGGGGAAGAAGACATCACACAGGGAGGCTTCAGAAGGGCCCTGCAAGGCAGACACTCACAATTAAAGTCAGTCCAGTAGAGGAGACAAGGATACAGAGGGGAACACACAGTGGGTGAACTTTCAGGTCATGGTCATGTCACACGTTATACTTGGGACAGGTCTTGCTTGTTGATACGTCTGAAACAGTTATCCTGGGATAAAATCTTTCTCCGCCAACCTCAAAAATAAAACACTATTCTGTAGTCCAGTCAATGTGGACATATCAATAAACCAGGGGAGAATACACGGCCTGCCATAGTGACCCAAGTGATGAGACTCCAAATTGAAACTCACAATGAATAAAATCTATTAGGGAACTAATTCTGTGGGAGAGCTACCTCTCTTTATATCCTCAGGACCCCCACATTTCCCCCCAACCCTGAGCTTTTCATGTTCAGGTTCGTGGATGTGAGCAGGGTACTCCTGCATTGCAAATTTCTTCAGATCTGGAGAACTTACCCCTGCCCCTTGTCCCCCATCTGACTTTTATCATCTTCAGTCAAGCACTTCAATAAAAGTAGTCTTCAAAGAAGTGAACCTAACAAATCTGAATCTCAGAGCTTCTGTTTTTTTTTTTTTTTTTTTTTTTTTTTTTGCTCTGTGCATTGTACGTCCTTTCCTCTGGGCCAGTTACAGGCCCAGAGTAAACGTTGCTCTCAGAGCCAAAGTACCCTGGTCTTAGTAGCCTGTCTAGCAGGATCTCACCAGGCGAAGAGTTGAGTTTTCTTTGGCTCAGCAGATGGTGAGCCACTCCTGTCTACTTTGCGCACATAAGACTCCATGACACTTTCAATGTATTGCCTTGTAAACTTTTCTTTGTCATTGCATATAATAATTACCTTTATGAATATGGAAGAAGAAAACTTAAGACAGGACTTACTACTTTGTTAGGAAGTACAAGGAACAGGATTTTCCTGACAAAATATTTGTGGTTCTAATGCAGGATGAAGAAGAAGAAATTAAACAAGAAATTAACATGTTGAAGAAATATTCTCATCACCGAAATATTGCTACATACTATGGTGCTTTTATCAAAAAGAACCCACCCGGCATGGATGACCAGCTTTGGGTATGTAGTGAACGACATTAAGATTTGCTTTTTTCTTGGTTTAATTTGAAGAGTTGTCAGGGATGAATGGTCTATTTTTGAATCCTCTTGGCTAAATTTGATAATGTTACTGGTTGCTTTGAAACTCTGAGTCCCACGTTTTCTAGAACATTGTGTCTTCGAGGTTTTATCCCTTGAAATTTTCTTTAATCTCTGTCTTTTCAGGATCTCTAAAGCCAGTTGTGAAGTTCTGTGGTGCCCACCCCACTTATTGGCAGTCATTTGTTGCACTTTTATTATACTTTAGGCAACCTGCTATTTACTTTTTATGAATTATGTCACTTCTTCCAGTTTCTGAGATAGAGCATTTCTTGAAAAACAAAACTGAAGTTTACAGATGGGGTAAGGAAACCAACCCAGGATTGTTTCACTTGGCTTTGAAGTTTACCTTAGTGGCAGTAATGGATGTGCTAGTATATAGCTAGCATCTAACCAAGGCCTGGTCCTCTTCTCACTAATATGTAAGTGACTCTAGATTACAAGTTCCAGTTCTGTGACTAAAACACCTATCATAACATCTCATGCCAGCTAGACACTCCTCAAAGGATGATTTTTTTTCTTGATTCCCTCCCATCCACTTAACCATATACCTCAGGTTTTTCTTTTTTTTTTTCCTTCAAATAAATCTGTTAAGACATCTCTGGTTGACCATTCCACTAATAAAAATTTCAGTGTTTTGGCTACAGATTCCTCTGTCTTGTTCCTGCTCTACTTATCCCGGATTGCTTTTGGTTTCTTCCTGATCTTTGTTGTTGAAACTTTTATTCACTTGATCTTGTAGCCCACTTACAATCAATCTGGTTTGACCTCCTGCCAAGTTGATAATTGCCCCCTGGAGCCCAGTTCAGCACGAGCCTACATTCTGCAACAGCTCCCTTACTCCAACTGCTCTCTGTCATTCCCCATGCCATCCTGAACCCTCTCGTTTTCTCTCACACCTCCTTTCATTACAGTTGTTCTGCTGGCTTAATGCATCTAAAAATACTGTTTTGAACCATTGATTCTCTTGCTCATTTTCCAGAAATCTTAGAATATGTCTAAAATGAAAAATTCGCTGAATTGCTATATGGTTACTCTAAGCCAAACACTGTTCCAAATTGTGTGAATCCAGTGATAATGGTATTTCAGAATATGAGCAAGATCTTATAGTCTATATATTTATATTGTATGTTTTTATGTCGTATATTTATATTGTATTTTATATATTTTATATTGAATACTCAGTCTTTTGAAATGGAAAGAGCTATTTAGATAGTTCTCAAATTTTCTTCTCCAACTTTAAGATGGAACTTAAGATAAATAAACCTATTTTATGATCATATTGGTATTACATATTTTACCTGATTTCTGAAAAAAATACAGCAAGATTTTAATTATAGCCTTTCAATGTATAGAATGCATAGATATGAAACCTAAAAACATAAAACTAGTTAAAAAGACAGAGATCGGACTGTGTACCCCTAAGGAGAGAGATACTCATTTGGCAATAGAGGAATAAGTCATGAAACAATTTAGTTGTACTTGCCCTTAGGATTAAACGTGATAAATAATAAATTACAAAGCATACCTCAAGTGACTATTACAGCAGGTCAAGATTAATGAGGAAATGAAGGTGAGGTTGCAGTGTGTTATCAACTGGATGTTTGTCTCCTCCCCCCACCCCCCCGCAACATTCCTGTATTGAAACACACACATACACACACACACACTCCCTCCCAATGTGATGATCCTAGCAGGTGAAGTGAGGCCTTTGGACAGTCATTAGGTCATGAGGCTGGATCCCTCATGAAGGGGATTAATACCTTTATGGGAGAGGTTCCAGAGAGCTCCTTCGCTCTCCTTTCAAGAAGTTGGCAGTCTGTAACTGAGAGGTTCTCACAAGAACTTGACTATACTGGCACCCTGATCTTGTAGCCTCCAGGATCATGAGAAATAAGTAACTGACTTAGAAGCTCCCAGATCTGTAGTGCTTTATTAGAACAACCAAGCTAAGACACACCAGTGGGGACAGTGGTCAGCATATACCCCATTGAAGACACCTCACGGAAGGCCATCTGAGACCTCGTGTTCTCTGGGAATGATGAAGCTGGAACTGTGAGAGTGATGGCTCGGGACCTGAAATGGGATCGTTCTAGAATTTGTAGACCCCTGGAAAGAGCTGAGCTTTTCCGTGCACAAGGTAGGCGAGCCACTGGAAGGTGCTGATGTTGACATGATAGGATCTGTTGAGAACAGATCAGATGTGAACAAGGACAGAAGCAGGAAGACCAGTGAGGAGTTCGTTAGTAAGTGAGTGCCTTTCCTGATATTGGCTGAAGAGGGCATTGCAAGCAGTGAGCACTTCAAGCCTGTCTACATGGGGAGGAATCCTGCCTTTGCATTTTGCTCCCCTCACTTGCAGTTAAGTGCAAGGCATAACTGTGGCACTTGCAGACTCCAAGTCTCTGAAAGACAGTAGAGCCTTGACTCATGCACTGATTAGACTCATGTTCATGCGAGGTGTGGGAGGGTGCAACCAGGGTGAAGCTTCTGTATTACTGGGGATGAAGCGAACTATGAAAAGCATCATGGGAGCGCGATCGTCATTTTCAACTGGCACTTCTGTGTGATGAGAGCATAAGGAAGAATTTGGACAAGTAATACAAAAACAAAATATGGAATTAATATCAAATCATAATATTGGGGAAATGTGGGTGTAGAATGTAATCATTCATATTTAATTCTAATACCTCTGAGTCACTAACTGGGTCATTCTGTGTTAACTGAAGCAATGGAAAGTAACACTTATCAAATTCCAGGTCTGTGTGTTTACCCTGTCGTATTATCTCATTAGATATATTTTAAAGATTTATTTATCTATTTGTATCTTTGATTGAAAGGCAAATTTACAGAGAGAGAAGGAGAGACAGAGATCTTCCATCTGCTGATTCACTCTCCAAATGGCCACTAGGGCCAGAGCTGAATCAATCTACAGCTGGGAGCAGGTGTTTCTTCTGGTTCTCCCACGTGGGCCCAAGGACCTGAGTCATTCTCTGCCACCTTCCCAGGCTATAAGCAGGGAGCTGTATGGAAGTGGAGCAGCTGAGATGTGAACCGGTGCTCATATGGGATGCTACTGCTACAGGTGGAGGATTGTGTCAATATCACCATGCCAGTTGCTATTTCTTTAGACTTTTATGGCCACTTTATAGATTGAATATGTGTATCATCATTATCCTCACTTTACAGATGAAGAAATTTGACTGAGAAAAGCTAAGAAGTATATCCAAGGGATGACAGTGTGTGAAGAAAGCAGTGTATATGTAGCTATCCCCACACTGCCTGATACCAGCATCTGTCCTTGAAATTCTACTTTCTTCTCCCTTTGATCATGAAAATTGTTTTGATACCAAACGTGGGGCTTCCAAATAGAGTTGGAATTTTGTGTTAAAATAACTTTATGTTGGTTTCATTTTGATATTCATTCCTGAGTTTCTTAGTTTTCACACAGGAGGGTGGCCCTGATATCTACCGATAGGATTATTGTGAAATCTCAAAACTACATCTTGAAAGTGGGTTAAATTTTTGAGGAATATTTTATTAAATGATCACAAGCATCCGTGCTGATTAACTGTTTGGATCTTATTAGATTTACAGAAAATATTAGAGAATATATGGAGTCACCATCTGATGGCAAACAGAGACTCACTAAAATGTATTCCCTGTATTCAGAATACATGAGCTGTTTCCCGGGTACTTGTTTTGCCGTAGCTAAGGCACAGAAGTTGGCCATTTCCCACCAGCCAGTACACATGCTGTTTCAGGTGTCTGATTGAACCATAATCTGTGAGAATTCTATCAGTCTTGTAGAGATAAACTCTTGTTTAGTAACAGCTCTTTGTGGGAATACAACTACTTCTGATAATGGCCAAGTAATTCTCCTTTATCAACTGCTCAGGGCCTGATCCGGAAATCAAAAAAGAGCTCTTTCAATAAAGATTCCAATCTCTGGGAAACAAGGTGAGCAGTGACACAACATTTCCATCTCATCCGACTGCATCTTGGGAGCAACAGCTCTATTTTTCTACATGCTGTCCAGACACAGGGAGTCAGCAAGATGTACTGTCAACGAATGGGTTTAATTTCTCAAATATGTTGAGTGCAGAGTCACATGTATTTTTGCTCTCTCTTGATACCACCTTGACAGTTGTAAGGCTAGACTATCTTGTTAAAAGAAATAATTTCTGGAGCTGACCTTGTGTCATAGTGGGCTAAGTTGCCCTTGCAATGCTGGCATTCCATCCCTGAGTGCCCCAGCTACTCTGCTTCCATACCAGACTTCAATGCACCCAGCAAAAGGTGGTTCAAGCAGTTGGGTCCCTGTCACTATTGGGAGATCCAGATGAAGTTCCTGGCTCCTGGTTGAAATCTGGACCTGTCCCAGCATCAGCCATTTGAGGAGTGAACCAGAGGATGGAAGATGTCTCTGTCGCAGTCTCTCTGTCATTCTGCCTTTCAAGTACAACAAATTAATTCATTAATTAAATCTCTTTTTAAAAGAAATATTTTCCAACTAGCTCCCCAAATGTGGGATAGTCAAGAAAGACAACACATTATTTTACCATAATGGCTTAATAAGCTATGCACTGGACTATAATGCCGCAGATGGCTGAGCTAAGAGTTAGTAAATGACATGGTTGGCATGTAAGGTGTCCAGCAGTTAGAGGCCACCTAACCCAGACATCCCGATACTAGACTCAAGCTTGACACAGTGTGCCTTCCTTGGGTTCCTGCCTTATAAAAATGATCATGTTGGACCAGGTCTGAATTTGCAAACTGGCAACCCAGAGGCTACATATGCTTCGTCAGGTTCACATAAGGTGGTAGAGTTTTAATTATGTCAACATTAGAGAAATTGAACATTTTTTTTGAAGTTAAGTTTGGAATCTTTGAGAAATTTGTAGAAATTAAATGATCTAGAA